GATGTTACAATAAATAATTGCTCGTTTATTATACAGAATTTACGTATTTTATTTATTGTTTTGTGTTTTAATTTATTATTTAGGACATTTAATTGTGTTATTTTTATCTTAAATTATGTACATCATCTGTTTAGTTTATCAAAATGGGTATTGTTTAAGATCTGGTAAGGATTAATTCACTTTTCATTATTTCTAATGAGGAAAATTATTCAGACTCGAACATTTCAGAGTTCGAAATTCCTCCTGAAACGAGGCAGTTCGATCATTTGGATCGCGTATAGCTTACCATATTTTGCGAAAATACCGAAACATCTGGATATTCTCCATTTTCGATAATCCGGCACCATTCCGGTCCAGACTAGTCTCTCAGCTATGTCCTAAAGTAAAGTTAATGTGACAGGTTCCGATAATAGCTCAATAATTTTTTAATTTTTATTTACAGTTTTAAATTAAATAAAGTTTTTAAATGTTTCACTCAATTCAAAATTGTTATATTGCTACGTATTGTGTATACAAGTTTTGTACATAATTTTCTCTTTTTGTATACAGTACATCTGTAAATGAGTATGTGACAGCCGGACTTGACGAAATTTTTGAGAGAAAATTTTCGTCTTTCGAAAGTTAAATTAGTTCAAATTCCAAAGAAAACAAAATTTTCAATTTAATTACCAGAGGATGATTGCATCTCTCTCCCCGGAGTCACTTTCTTTCTCAGGGAACTCATCGAATGTGTCTCCGGAAACTAATTACAAATATTCACCATTGGTCGAAAGTAGTAACGTGGCTAAAAACAGGGCATCGAAACCAAAGGGAAGGACCCCCGATATAAAAGGATTGAATCGAAGATAAGAAGGTCGTCGGGAAGGGAACACCGACTCTGTTCCCTTCCAAAGAAAGTGTAATGTAACTATGCTCCATCGCCGATCCCTTCGACCTCTGCTCCTGTTCAATGTTGCCGTTCTCCGAACATTCGACCTTCTCGAACCAAGAATCTGACAAGCCAACATAACGAACACGAATTTCCTTAACGATCTACTATCTACGATCTCGACCTATAAGTCATCAAGGTATTTAGCATCATGCGCAATAATGTAAACTCTCTCAGCTAGGAACGCGCTAACTCCATATCTACTAGTATAAAGTCGAATAGATTATGTTACGTTGTATCCATATTATCCAGTATGTTACGCTACTAGAACTCATCTATTTTGCCGTTATATAAAAGTTAAACTGAATGTTATTGTGTAAATAGTTTACAGGAATAAACGGAAATTATTTCTTTATAATTGAGTAGTAGTGTGCACCTTTTTCTGCCGCATTGTCTCTCAGGCCATCCCTAGTGTCTACATAAGTAACCGCTCGCGCAAAACCGAAACCACAGCCAACAAGGTTTCAATGTCTGCCTTAAAAGACACTGGTGTCAGTCCTGATATAGGCATCACCGGTCTGGTACCGATCCTCTGGTCACAGGGTGTATTTGCATTTTTCTACATTTATTTCAATGCGTATCTGTGACAATATACAGTAATTAGAAAAACCATAGATTATCCTCTAATGCTTATAAGCAGCCACAGAAATTTAACTCAGAAAAAAGCAAACTTTATTTCTTCAAATAATTTATTAATTTTAAGACTACATGAAGTACTCAACTTTATTTGATTCAGTAATAATAAACAGTATTTAGGATGTTATACACTATGTATTTTTGATACATGAAATTGCATTTCTTATGACATTCACATTCAGGGTCGACGCTACAGCATGGGCAAACTTGGCATTTGCCCAAGGCGACAAGTGGCAAGGGCGACATATTTCATAAATTGTCTTGAGTGAAAATAACGAACAATGAAATTATCGTAGTAATGTAAGTGAAATTAAACTATTTTAAAAACATTTAAAAATTTCTTCCCACTTCTAATAGGTATGGCATTTTAAAACAATTTGTTTTTTTTTTTGTTTTATGTAGGAGATAAGGGGCGTTATATGCATGTCTTGCCCCGGGCTGCATAATATATAAATATATATCGTAGCTCATCTGTCACTGTATTCTTCAATAATTTACCTAATATTAATAAAAAAAAGTATNATAATTTACCTAATATTAATAAAAAAAGTATTGATTTAACAGAACGTGCCCAGTAAACAATTAAACAATTAAAACACACCTTTTTTGTTGCCGAGATAGTTTTATTTATTTAAGACTAACGTTGTCAACCTATTCTGTAGGTCATCTTCATGTTGAAATGGATTGGAACATCTGCGTTCCATAAGATGAAATACTGTACATAGACTACATTTAAATTCAAAAAATTGACAACGGAATAAAAACAAAAAAAAAATAATAATAATAATAACATAAGAATAACTTATAAAAATATATATATGAAATAAAATAAAAAATAAAAAACTAACTCAGATATATTAATAAAAATAATGATCCAGTAATATTACTTTGAGCATAAAAATAAATTATTAAGATATAATATGCAACAATAGACTAATGTATAAATTACGAGTTCATGGCAAACTTTTTGACTATAAACTTCCAAGCCAATGGTAGGTCTTCTTTTCTGATGTTGATATGGAGATTTTAGTTCATATAGGCTCTTTCTCCGACAGACATATGGTTATGATCGCTATGCGACCAAAGAGCCAGCTGTATCCGAACGGCCTATACGCATGCGCGGGAAATAATGCCTTCCGGGAGCACTTTTATGGGAAACTGGCCTCCTATTCAGTCGTTATTGGCAAGGAAAACTCCAAGCAGCCAGCCTGTCCTATCGCGGCGCGAACCCACAACCGAACTTCCCAGTGTTTAGGGTCTGGTCACCACTATGAGCAGCAACGGAGACCACTCGCCTCTTCCAGTTTGCTCTTGTGTATTTCAATTTTCTCAGCGGTCCTTGCTAATGTTAGGGAGCGCAAGGGTTTGGCAATGTCCGCTTTATCCCATTTTACTATCAAGCCTTGGATCTGCGCCATCTGGAAAAGTACTGTTTGTTGGAACCTTTCCTGATGTTATATTTGTGTACTTTGAGTCTTACTCCCAAATTCCTTGTTGTGACGCCGATATATTCTTTCTTGATTCCTACCTGTACATTTTCGTAAGGAATCTTGTACACCCCTGCTTTTTCTTCTTTTTTGATGTTATCTTTGTCATTACTTAAAATTTTATATAGGTTTGTAGCTCTTTTCAGAATCATTCTTGACTCCTTGCGATCCGCAATTTCTTCCATAATGCCTTTCGTACTTCTGTTATATGTAAACTTTGTGATTTTACTGGGATCAAGTCTTGAAGCTCTTGTTGTGCTATTCTCGTATCAGAAGGGCCTTTCTACACGTGACAGCGTTGTGGACAGAGCAAAAGAAATCGACAGAATTGTACAAGTAGCTGAAGCCCTAGAATACAAAAAAGGCAAATAACAGGAATAGCTAAAAGATACGAGAATAGCACAACAAGAGCTTCAAGACTTGATCCCAGTAAAATCACAAAGTTTACATATAACAGAAGTACGAAAGGCATTATGGAAGAAATTGCGGATCGCAAGGAGTCAAGAATGATTCTGAAAAGAGCTACAAACCTATATAAAATTTTAAGAAATGACAAAGATAACATCAAAAAAGAAGAAAAAGCAGGGTCATAGAAATGATGTAATTTGAATATAAATTATTTATAAATACGTATGTCAAGTTATATTTTCATTACGACGCAAAATATATTTAAGAGTTTACGGCCACTGTGCCGGGTGAGACGTTGTTGAAATAAAAAAAATTATGCATTCCATTTCGTACATAAACAGTATCGTAATTCGCCAAGTGCAAATCAGCAAATTCGTAAAATTTTTGTTTATTTTGAACAATTCGGATAATCGAAAATCCGGATAATGGAGGTCCGGATAATCGAGGTTCTACTGTATTTACAAATAGTCTTTTAAAAAGGAAAAAGCAATATCTGAATTAAAAACGAGAAAAATTTTATCTTTAAAAAGAATTTCGAATTATGACAGCTGACTCTGGCCGTTCTCGAACCAAACTTTCGCTGCAAAGCGATTACAGCGCTCGAAGTGGCAGAAATATTTATTATGCCACTTTCGTTGCTGACAGACCAGTTATCTATCAAATCTGGTCCAGGTAGGTGCCGAATTAACGAACTTCTACTGTTCTATTTTTATTTATTTGAACATTGATTAATGAAAATTCCAGTCCAATTTTCGATTCATGGGTTGAAAAATACATAAGGCAGCTTATGCATAGAGAAAGGAGGATAGATGGAGCAGTTACAAGATATGAATTTGGCTACTGATTGGACTTTTTATTCTATCTTACTGGCTTCAGTTATTGGAACCGGATAAGAAATTTCTTGCGAGAAAAGCTTTATGGAAATTGGAAAGTGAGCATAGGAAAAGTCTAGATGGTAAATACTGTACAATTACACAACACATGGGAGATATGCCGAGGGGATTCTTCTCTGGAGGCCTTCTATGCAAAACCGCTCCAATTTAGGTGTTACTAACGTGAAGAAAACCCAGATAACTCCACACATTCAGACCATTAGTCAGTCGCGAACTCGCAACCAATTACCAGTGTTCAGTAGTGTTATCCATTCCGCCATTGATGAACGATGATAATTTTCAGCGATGAAACATAACTTTAATATCAGTCGCAGATAAAAAATATTATTATGAGTCCTTTTAGCGTAAATATTTATTTATTTACAGTATTAACAAATAACGAAAATAATACAGAAAAATTTCGTTGCCAACTAACAGATGGCGCTTGAGATAAAATTACATTTACGTTTAACATATTTCTTCCCTCCAATTATATGGATTTTAATCGACTATCTGTGTGGGGAGACATGCAGATTGTATTTTTTACAATTTTTTTTTAATTAAAAAAAATCAATTATTTTTCAGACTGATGATTTGATATCGATAGTTCGGATCGTACTATTGTTTTCGTTCTATTCTTGTTATTCTCATTGTGAGTCAGAATTATAAAAACTGTAATAACTGAGGTACATTGCCGGTCGGATGATCTAGGCAATTGGGCCTCAGTGTACTTGCTTAGGTGGTCAGGAATTTTTTGCAATGGTCCATCTCGAATATTGTCAGGCCCGTCCTTCACACCTGGAAGCCCTATTGCGGACATAGCCAAACCTAGGGTGGGTCTGAAAAAAAGGACCTTCTTAGTACTCACAGGACGAATATGTCGGAGAAGTATGAAATCATTAATAATTTTGCACATAACCTGCCGATAGAATTGTAGGATTGATGGAACAAAACAATATGTGGGCTATCTGCCGCTGGGGAGTGATTTTAGGAGACACTTTCTATGAATAACTGGCTCCTATACTAGACGCGTGATTAAAATCAGGAAAACTCCACGAGACCAGCACGTTGGTGACACGCGAATCAAACTGTGTTTACAAACAACCAGGGTTCAGTGATTTTATCCATTCGGCTATTGGTGGGCCATCTGCTAATAGACGTTATTAAACTATGAATAGAATAATTTCTTTCATGGAATAACATGATGTATCCATGAGAAAACCCTTAAGGAGCTCTTTCTTCTCGGATATTCCAAATAATCAGATTAAATGTCTGTAAAGGAACTTCTAAAATGGTTGAAAAGGTTAATAGGAAAATTACAGAACTATTTTTGACTAGAATGTATTAAATGATTACATCTAGGAAATTTCAACAGAGTTAAGTGGTTGGTTTTAATCTTTTTGTGCACCATAAAGATCGATTCGAATGTTGCGAATCTAATTGGTTTTACGCTTTGCGTAATAAACCAAAAATATATTTCTTACCAAGGTTAAGTTTAAAATAAACTGCAGCAAGTATTTTATAATTTTAATGAAAGCCTTTTTTCATTTGATAATTTTAATGGCGTTGTTCAATTGAAAATCCATCGAATTTATATTCAATTTCGTTTTCCGATGAGGAAGTATCTCGATTTTTTTTAATTAAAATTATTTCAACGCAGAATATTGTAATGAATTTTTCAAATAATCAGTAATTTCGATAACGGGTAGCATTATACATCGAGTTGCATCAATTAATAAAATATTTAACCCAGATCAAGTTTTATACGAGGCAACTCAAAATAATGTAATGTAAAGTTTGAAAACTCCTTTTAAGGATTTTAATTCTAATAAAATTAAAACTGTAAATTGTTAAGTAGAAATGAAACTTAATATTTAACAAAGCAATACTTAAATAATTTATTGTTTTAACAGAATTGAGAGCGGGTAGAACCGTAGAAGTGTAGAAAAACGTGCCGAAGAGTGAAAAAAAATATTCGATGGATGAGAACATTTCGAGTTATGAAACGTAAGTAAAATGGATTATTACACAAGAGGTAAAACAAAATTTTATTTTGATAAGATATCTAAAAAAGTTCCTACACCTACTTTCTGTATCTATTTTTATTGTCTACTATTCTACCTACCATTACGATACATAATTCTGAAGGCCACGGGGATGGTCGAACTTGCAGAGACAACTGACAAACCTGCCATTGTGATACCTATTTCTGAAGGCCGGATGATCGAAATGGCAAAGATAACAGACTGCCATTTTGGGGAGTTCGAGGTCAGTTAAGAAATTTGCACGTGTAAGTTTATCTGGGTACGTAGGGCCTTCTATCACTACGTATCTACGTTGTTAGCCTGACCGTTTTATAATTTATATCTGCAGGGGTGTGCAAAATAAAGTACGGTTGACAGTGACGTATTTTCATCATACGTATCATTGTTACAGTAACCTTGATATATAATTTTAGAAAATTCTCACATGTTTTAGTATACACGTAAGAGGGTCGTCTATTAATTACGTATACAATTTAAAAGGGCGACCTTTTTTAAATTGTATACGTAATTAATAGACGGAGAAGTACATCATTGTACATGATAGAGAGGGAGGGGGTCGGAACATTGCCTACTTAGGCTGTTCTTAGGTGTTAGTGGCACACGAATCTGTTCTTATAAGTCTACTTAACAGTATAATTTAAGTTATAAAATATTTGCAGAACGTTTTAAAGTAATTTCTTCGATGTCAGGGGGGTTCACGAACTATTGTATACGTAATTAAAGGGGAGGAGATTTGACAAAAGTACTGTACATAATTGTACATGACAGGGATGGAGGGGTAAGTTGTGGCTCAGAAAGTGTATGTAATTAATGGACGATTTGCAACTTTCAAATTGTAGATCTGTTGATTTCTCACTGTCGTATGTCTGTCCTTTCTTAATCTCGAGATATGAGTTAGATGAAAATCGAGACCAGTTATGGAAAGTTTATGGGCAGGACATCCGAGTAAATATATACGAACTTCCGGTCCAAACTGGAAGTCACTTGATTTTTTAGGTTCAAATTTGCAGCCCGACGTCATAATAACTAAACGATTATTTAAAGCGAAAATATTTCGTATTTTTAAATCTATAAAGGTTTTGAACGTTTCAATTTACAAAAATCTAATATATCAAGTTAGAGTTTCATTCTATAAATACATTATTATGGCGGAAATGCTAATTTGATTTATTAAGCAGTTAGCATTGTTTAATGTTGCCTTGAACAACGTTATTTTGCTTTCAACAATAGTAAGTTTTAATGATGAATATTACGAAGAACAGCAAGCGATGTTTCTCTGCCACGTGACGTTCAGGTTTACTTGATCTTAGTTTAATCCTTAATTAAGAAAGGGAAGAAAATAATATTTTTGATCAATGAGTGAAAGTTTTATAGCTGAACTTGGTAACGATGTATCGATATCCTTACCAAGACAAGCAGAACGTATTACAAAATGAGTTTTTAACTGTGTAACTCATTGTAATAAATAAATTATAAAATTAAATAATATTAACAAGAAAAAAATAGGAATTAAATAATGAAAATATAACCATAAAATAGTCATGTAAGAAAAGTATTTTAGCCAATTTAGGAGAGATTAACATAAATACAAAAAGAATTTCCGAAAACGTCTGTCCATTGCGCTTTCTATAAAAAATAGTCTGTTCTTTTCTGACTCTTCTCGCCTTGTGGGTACTAAGAAGGCCTTTCTTCCTGCCTGTAGTGGGTTCGACCATTCAAAATGAGGGCGACCGAGTGGTAAGGACGGAGCCCATGAAAAATTCCATGGAAGTCACTTCGGGATCTCGGTATCCTGAAATAACTTCCCTGAAATCTACCGTTCTGGGGGATCCCGGATTCGATTCCAGGCACGTTATCCCACGGGCAAAAAGGGCAATTGTCTGGGCCTTCCCAAACCAATCTTTGAAAAGAAAACATTTTTTTCACAAACTCCCTCAAAAATAAAAATATCCGAATTCAGCACTGTAGTTGGAGCCCTCTAATTCAAATTTGGGCCATATGAAGCTATAATGCGCCCCTGCTTGGGCCCCTGGAACGATAGATCAACGCCTTAACTATATTGTAATACACACGATAAAGCGCCATTATAGTCTTTCTTTCAGGAAACATTCTCTGGAGGTATTTTTCTGATCCGAGGGGGTAAAAAATGCAATCATATATTAAAAATCAGCAATATTAGCCGGATGTAATCAGTTACTTATCTAACCACCTGAAAGGAGTGTTGGACGAATATACTAATTGTTATGTCCTTCAAGAATTACTCAGAAATAATTTATTCTTGCATTTTTTACCGCCTGAAATATGCACATACACTTTCACTTATATATGTGTGTATGTGTGTGTACAGTACATATACACATATATACATAGGAACAATAATCATTTATGTATTTTTCATACGAAGGGGTGTATTTTTCAATATCCGAGGGTATTACCCTTGAAGACCCACTGAAAGAAATCCTTCTTTATTTACAGGATTTATCGAAGCCCTCTTTACAGAAAATTTTAACAAAATGATTCATTATAAAAATAAGACCCTTAAGATAATTAAATACATAAGTTGTATGCCATATAAATGATTCAATTAAATGTTTTCGGACGGATAGATTCTTAAAAAATAAAATTCAATAGTGTTTCTTTGATTTATTTGAGGAAGACATTTTTACTTTCTTCGTCCTTTTAACTTAATTTCCTTTCTAAAAATATACGTAGGAAACTTCGAGAAAGAGGAAAATTTTGATGAAATGTGAACTTAGTTTATGAATGGTCAACGAAGTGTGTTCAGTTATTAATTTCTCTGTATGGTGCGTTAATAAGAAAATACGAAAGAAAAAACACACTTTTTTTAAATTTTGAGACCAATTTGTAGTGAATTAAGCAACTAAACATTTGATAAATCATCGTTATCTATCAATAACCTTGAGCATTACGTAAGTTTACGTACTATACAGTACGTTTCACGCGCCAGTCTGGTTGTCTGACAACTGGTTTTATAGAAAACTAGTTTAAATAAGATTTTGATTATGTTTAATATAAAAAAAATTATTGAAGATATTTTAATATTAATTTTAAATCATGTTGTTTTCATTTTTGACCGTTCGAATATTGTATTTTATTTTTTTGAAATGAAAGTTAAATTTAAATTTCACTCCTTACGCACATGTGTTTTCTATAGTCTGCAGGTGTTTGTTTATACAGAACGATTGTACAATTTTGAACTTTAATAACTTTGTACGTATACACGATAGAAGTACACTATAGCGCCATTTTAAAACTTAATTTATAAAGTTTTTATATATTACTTTTAATTTATTTACAGAATCTTTAAACTTTAATAGAGACTGGATTAAAGGGACTAATTTAAGTGTCGCAGAATTGAAGTGCATAACAGCTCTAAAATACACTAAAACTTCGCATATATTTTAAATTTTCTACACAATTAACAGATAAATCCTAAAGTATTCTATGAGGCAAGGTGAACAAATTGATACGCGAGAAAAACTTCAATTATTTATTGATACAAATAAATAGATAAATTAATTAAAGAAACTTAACTAATTTTCCAAATTTATTATCTAATTAAACACTTGTTTGATTTATTAAACTGTACTAAATTATGTTAGAATAGACAAAAAAACGTTTACGAATTACTTGTCTCATTTGTCTACGGTTCTATTGTGACGTAGTTGTATACACCGCTGGTTAATTAACATAAAGTAATCAATTCACTTCCTTAGTTCCTGTAGGAAAATGAGGTTTCCCTTTTAAACTAGATATGACCTTGAGTAGCTGAAAAGTCTGGACTGTCCTTTTATGTAGTCGATACACATGACCGATATGGACGAAAGGCCTACTTTTGATAGCCTGTACAAACATCCTGGTTGATAGAGGTCATTGAACAACTTCCCTAATGTCACGCTTCCTGTCTTGTTCTACGTTTCACGTTTTGTGCCATGTAAATTCGGTTTGTAAGACAATTTGAAGACGTCCTCACTTTAACATAAACTTTTATACAAATCCTTTAAGTGTTTATACGTTTAATACGAAATCATTTTACTGCTTGTTCTATAATAATTACTCGAAAATATTTAGGACAGAAGTTCAAATATTTTAGGACAGGAGGGATTCTCTCGAACGTCTTGACTCACTAACAAGTTCATTTTTTTTCCCCCAGTTTCGTGTCATGTTTTAAGCTTACATTCCAGTTAGTTCTACATATTTTCACTTTACTAATTCCTTTATCTTATATACAAGAACTAGTACTACCTACATCCAAATACTAGTTCTTCTTCTATGTAAATTATAAGATTTATAAGTTGTACTTTGTATAAAAATGACTATTGACAAGCTAAAACTTACACTCCCTGTCACAATTTATTAAAATATACCAAATAAATCCTGAATTCAAGCATCTATGAATGATAAGGAGTAGTATTTCTTTCAGAAAACATTCTACAGGGACCGGGGGAAGTTTTTTCTGATGTAAGGGGATGAAAAATGCAATTGGTCTGTCAACAATTGGCATAGAATTAACAATCGTTGGTATTTATACAGAACTGTTGATATGAGGTTACACGAGGGAATTGAGATTTTCCCTGAGACTCCCTGATATAGAGTATGTTAAACACAACATTTCAGAATTTATTCTATTCTGTATTTTTTATTTTTATCTCTTACCTGCGAGCAATGTCACACCATTCATTGTTTAACTTTCATTCATATTTTTCGTGTAAACTAGTTAACTTTACAATACTTGATCTATATAAATCTAGGATTTACAAATAAGCTAAAAAACGCTGCAGCTTGGGGGGCATCGCGTTATGAGTCTATAGGGCCTCAAGTTTTTGCGTACATCATTATTTAGTAGAGGGAAAGGGCCTGTTACATGCTATAGTATAAATCTTAAATCTGTATAAATAAGTGAATGAAAATAAGCAAATTAAAGCATAAAAGTATGAAGAAATTAAATATTCTAATTGAAGAATTTAATGTGAATTATTAAAAAAATTACAATTATATGTATATGAAAATATTTTTTATTTAACATTAAAATAATATTTAATAATAAAAATAAAAATAAAAATAATAAACAAACTCGTTCCCACACTGTATCGGTATAACCTTAAAAGTGCCAAATAATACATATACAGTCGAACCTGCAACAACGACCACCTCCCAACAACGATCACCTCTAAACAGCGGCCATATTTTCAGGAACTTTCTTTCTTTAAACAAAAATGTATACGAAATAACCTCCAAACAACAGACAATTCCGAATGACAGCCATTTTTTTTTCAATGTTTCCGTCAGTGTCCGTATTTCAGAGGTTTTCTCATAAGAAAAGATGCAATTTCATTTCTGTTCTCGGCCATTAAAAATCGGAGATATTTACAAAAATAGAAAGAAATCAATTGCCATGTTTGCTCCTTTATGATCATTTAAACGACCACTTCCTCGTCATTAAGGTAACAGGAACGTCAGGGATGGAGTTTTTTTGAAGATAAAAATATATTTATAGCCAATAAAATCGTTGGAAACAATTTAAAACATCCATCTGGAACACACGTTCGTACCTGTTTTATGTCAACGAGTACACGAATTGAGGTAGAGTTCGTGAGGATGATGATATTAAGTACAGTACCTCAATTTCAGTTAAACAATTTCAATTTTCTTTGTTGCAAGTCGATTTCCTCATTAATTCTTTATGGTAGCCATTAGTGTGAACTTTGTCGTGTGTATAGATGAGGCCACTTGGTGAACACGACAAAGAAAAATTCTTTTTACTCCTGTTATAAGCATTCTTATAGAAATCCCTGAACAAAAACCAGAATAAAACAGCATGGAAACCAATCCACCACATAAATCCACGTGGATAATGGCAATCGCGAAAAAGCAATTGGAACGAATGGACGAAGATGAAAATGAATTGTATCTAGAATTATAATTTTAAAAATAAACAAATAAATAAATATTTTTTTACCATTAAAAGTTTATCTTATGAGGAATTTATTACAGATTTTTACCATTTGTATAACGGTCATGTACTTCTTCCACCAAAGATACTTGGTCATGGTAGGCCCAACCGCCGCCATACCGTAGTAAAAATACATTAAGATGTGGACGAAACTGTTGATAAATGCAAAAAATGTGCTATGGCCACCTAATTATAAAATATTTTAATGTTAATTTTATTTGATTTTTAAAGAATATATTAGAAATCTTAAAAGCATACCTGGCGTGAACTTAACACCCCACCAAACACTCATGGGCATGATACCGTGATGGATGACATGCAAGTTGGATACGTGATCGAATTTCTTTCTCAATACCATAAAAACCTAAAAATTTTATAATCTGGTGAGAGTTTCTACAATAAAAAATTGATTAAATGTTCAACAAAGATACTTACAGTATCCGTGAATTCGACAAATTTTGAAACATAGTACCACCAAGCCGCATTTGCCATCTGGAAATGGGTCATTTACGTTATTTTTACTTCAAATGATCATAATTTAATCTAATTAAATAGATTTCAATGGCATATTCTATAACGTGAACAGCATTAAAGCCAAAATTCTTCGACTCAAACTTTCTGATCTTCATTTTAATCATCTGAAGACGATTTGGTTAAACATAAAAACATGTAGTATGCTTAATAATGATACCATGATACAGTATTCCTCCATAAAGTGATACTTTATAGGTTAACACCTCAACTACAAAGCAATATCAGAAGGACAGAGCATAAATTTCAGGTAATGTTAAACTGTAGTAAAGAATACTTAATTACTCTATTTTTTTTAAAAGTTTTTGGGTGATAACTCATAATTTTATACGCATTGATTATACTCTACACCGCACTTTTATATAAACATTCTGTTGCGAATGGACCTTAACCTCCAAGTCAAATTATCAGTAGTGATGGATGCTTGGATGATTCATAACATTATAATTCGCTGTCATCCATCTCAATTTCAGAAATTCTAACTGAATGTATCTTGCTGTAATTTCTTGTTTGATTGATGATAAATAGTAACTATTATTAAACACCTAAATTCCAATTTTTAGTAGAATAGTCATAAGATCAATTTCTGCAATTCACACTTTTCATCTTCCTCATCGATTTAAAAACAAAAAATGCTTTTGGGGCATATAAATAGCCATTTTTTAAAATTACTTTTTATATTTTTAAGCCTGTTTAAAGCACGATTTACATAAATATATTGGTTAAAATAGATATTTTGAGTTAAATTCTTCTTCTGGAAGGTAAAACAATAAAAATCTGTTAATAGTAGTTTGTACAGTACATTTCAAATGGCTCTTGTTAATTAAAGTTGTTTATCATGAAAATATTTAATTAACAAGATCCCAAGTGATTAAAGTAATTGAAGCAAGATAATTTCCGCTTATTTTTAGCTTCGTGCCATTGAAAACCATTACAAAGAACGACAGATTGGCTACTCACTGCAACGGCTTCGGAACTATTCGAATAATCCACAGGCTCGCACTTCCAACTGTATTTACTAAACCAACCGTATAGACCTAACTATACACATAAAAACTTCGATTAAATTCTAAAATTATGCGATATTATACTTACGATCTTATGAGAAATCCACTCACCATTACAAATAGCCACGTGCTAGCAATGACCATAGCAAAATTATAGAAAATCATAACATAACGAAGATCCATTGGTTTACGATCTTTCATTAATGCTGGACCTAATAATTTCACAAAATATATGTACGAAAAACATATTCCAAGTGTGGGCCATGGACTTTGCATCATAGACCAGTCATACACTCTTGGATCTTCGATATAAAAGAAAAATAAATAAACTAATTAATATTATATTCTCTTTAATAACTGTTTTTCAATTAAATCTATTAATCAGAGGAGGGTTTTTTCAGTACAAAACACGTTTTAAGTCGAGATTCAGCTTTACGATACCCTTGACCCGATTTTTTTACACTGGTTAAGGTGGGAAGAACAATGATCTTATTGATATAATTTGTCAAAACATAGAAATTATGACACGTAAACTAGTGTATAAATAAGCTAAACCGGTAATCTGAACGTAAAAAAATAGGATTTCCATGATTAAAAACATATTTCGTCTACCATAACATGCCCAATTGAGCTCCTTATCGCATCCTTAAATATTTTAACACATGGTTTATGACAATATCTTGCTTATACATCTAATTAAATCAATGCAATTAATATATCAGTTAAATTTAATTTACGGTTAATTTAAATTTAGTGTAGATTGCACTAGAATTTTTACACTTCCTATACACTATAAGGCAGCAGTTCTCAACCAGGGGTGCACGTGCCACGCAAGAAGGATCCATCATTGCTACAAGGGGTCAATATACGAAAGGCTCAGGGGGTAGGAAAGTGAAAAACGTTGAGATCCGCTGCTACAGGGTGATATAAGATTATACTATGTCTATTATAAGTATACGAGAACATGCACACATTAAGTATATTGTAAATTAGGTACTATTTATTTTATAATTCACACTTACAAGATTTATTTCATTGTTTATCCAGCTGTATTAAACCAAGCAGCTGCCTGGTAAAGCGCCGTATTTAAGTGCATAATTAAAAAAAATGGCAGCTGTTTATAGCCGAAACATAATTTAAATTAATTCTAAACTGGACTTATATCCCTTCCAAAATAAACTATCGCTTATATTTCAAGTAGCGAATATAAATTTTAGGAAATAATAAGTATATATAACGCGCATTTTATAAACAATGCGCATAAATTTAATAAAATTATACACACACTTCGATATTTTTTTGTATGCGCATAACAAACTTTAGCACGAGACTTTTATAATTTTAATAAAAAATATCGCGGAATTAAGGCCCTATAGAAGAAATTTACTAAGGCTGAACGTACAAAAACACCAATTTAAATCATTCAGAGGTGTAGAATTTGATAACAGGAGGTAGATTGTAATCACTCGCATATTCTTTCCGCAATAATAAATACATTTAAATCTTTCCAACCGTGCAAATCATTATTCTTCAATCCTAACCCTTCCCACGACACAGTCTTGCTGATAATAGCGATAATACTTCCTATTACTACACACAAGAATACGTTGATACACGAGTATACCCACTTCCTATCTACCCTATAAGGCCACCTTCACAGGCTCTAACGTAACGTAACGTAACGTAAGAAGAGTCTTACGCAGCCTTTGAGTTATTTTAAACAACACGCAAATTACTTTCTTGTGTAAAAAATTAAAACATGACCACTGATTTATTAATAAAATATAGAAATTATAAAGGATTTTTACCTCCGTTATCCATAGTCCGATTGTAAAATTCCACAACATCGTGCCATAATCGCGCCATGTTTTCCTCCTCCACTCAATTTTGAAATTGACCCAAAACTTCCCAGCTGTCATTTTTATAATCAGGCCTTCTACCAACGGTGCTGCCACCTGTGGAATCAAATGAGAACTACACACGTCTACTGTCTAACTGTGCGATCTTTCAACATAACTTCGTTTTAAGCTTAAAAGGGGTGGGAACGTAACTCACAATTTAATTAAATCATTATTCGATCATTTAAAAAAAATTTAACAACAATTAATTATAAAAATAAATAAATAAAGCTTATACATTAAATTATACATCCGTATCTTAGAAAAATCGAAATTTATGGATGAGTAATTTAGCGTTTAAGGAAGAAAAACATGGAAATCCGTGAGTTAAAAAGTACGTTTTTGCTTTGAACCTTAAAAATGTCCTTTGTTTGGAGGTTATTTTGTATGCATTTAAAAAAAAACAAATAAACATTCCTGTAAGAAAATGGCCACCGTTTAGAGGTTGCCGTTATTGCAGGCCCGACTATATCAGTTTTTTTTAACGTAAAATATTAACAAGCAAGAATTGTTTAACGGTGTGAAGTCCCAACGCTTATATACGCGGAACTTCACACATTGTTTGAAGCTCTACGTTGAACACGAGCTTCGAAACAAGTACGAAGAGGTGCCATATATAATTTGCATAATATTGAACACGTGAGATATATTTAAGTGAATATAACACGTGAAGCTTTCTTCCGTAAGAAGTTCAAGTTTCGTATTCACCTACTCAAGGCAAGATTTAAGCACAAATTAAACAAGTTGCATCTTAGAAATTGAAGCTAAAGAGTTAAATTTTGAAGGGGTAAGCGTTTATGTTATAGTTTGTCTCATAAACCGACCGTGTAAAGTAATTTTCAAAGAATACTCTTGCACATTGAGCAATACTCTCGATAAATGTGTAGACTTTAGGTGTGAAGTTTGGTGTTTATGATATAAGCAACTTTCCACTGTGTAAATGACGATAAAATATGAAAAACTGCAACTTTAGATAACATTTATATATAAATTTAACGTGTAAAAGTGATTAATTAGTTATTTTTTCTGAAGTACAAGCATTGAATAATTGTCTCTATGTCCTCACTCACTTATTGTAATGGATAATTTATGGCACAAATCAGCACAACAATTAATTGTAGACCTTTCAAACCCGTTTCCTTTTAAAAAATTTATGCTGAAAAAACGTTAATTGCTTCAATATTTCGCAAGTTTTTACTGAATTAAAGTGAAAAATATAATAAAAAACTTGATTTTGGCTGTTGATGAGTAGACTTATTTTTCAGCGTGCATCCACGTGTCGAGTTTAATGTGTAAACTCACGTGTTAAAATTGAGTAAAATGTCTTAAAAATTCGAAATTTATACGTATTTTTTCGAAATATTTTCAGCTAATATATGTTATTTGAGTTGCTAATTCTAGGATGTCAATTATTTTGACCGCCTTATGTCAACTTGTCCCAATTGCGTAAATCAGCAGCGAATTTTGATGATTAATATTGACATTGAGGCTCTTTATCTTGCTAATTAAAACGAAAATCGCGTGAAATGTGCTAAATTTCTCTTCCTATATTTAAATTTCATACGATTTTATTCTTTACATTTCATTATTTAATTAAAGACGAAAAGCGAGAAAATTCAATTAGTAAGTGGGGCCTTTGTAATGCTAATACCACAAGTTCTGTGTAGACAATTGAGCTTCTCCCCATAAAAAGTTTGAGAGAAAAGGGGACAGAACTAACTCGTTTCATTAAATAAATAGTTACAAATGACTAGTAAATGATATTAGGTTAACTCAAGTTGACAATACATCCGATGTTTACACCGGTTGCCTCACTTCTTAAGGGGGTGAGTATTTGAATTTAAAACATTGTTATATTGGTGATAAATGGCTAACGTGTTGTAATATTTTCCAACTGGAATGAAAAATGACCCAAAATTTTTCAATTTTATGAATACGTAGTACTAAACTTTCTAACCAGGTTTTTACGAATCGAGTTAACAGGTCGGGGTTAACTTTTAGCTGCTCTATAAAATTTTAAGTAAAAATTTTATGTATATTTTCCTGTTTATTAGCGTTAAATGAGGGTAATTAATGAATTTTTTCTATCTATAAACCTTCCAGACTCGATTTAAAACAAATTATCGACAATTTGTTCAAAAATTAATGCACAAAATATAAGGCAAATTTCTTAAAAGTATTAGGAATGGTGCTAGATTCAAAGGGTAAGATGAATTTAATAAACGTTTAAAGCTCCGTTATGTTAATATTATTCATAATTTTATTCATGAATTACTCTAAAAATATTATTTTAAATTTTCTATATTTATTCTGAGGCTTTTTACATGAATATATCATACATTTTTTTCATCATAATCGTGCCATCCTGTAATGAAATCGCATACATCACCTCGACAATTACAGCATTTCTAATGAAATTTTAAAAACAATTACGCACTTCAAAGTCCAAAAATGTAAAAATTCAAAGCTTGGAGGACCCCAATTGTCGTTTAGATAATAAAAATATTAATTTTAAACATTTAAACAAAACTTCCTCGTGTTATGAGGAAGTTTTGTTTAAATGTTTAAAATGTCGATGTAAGTTTTGTTTTGTTTAAATGTTTAAAAGTTTTGTTTAAATGTTTAAAAGTCGATGCTTTACGATGATTTACGAGTCGATGCTTAAGGCCTCATATTTTTACATGTATTTTTATTTGGTGGAGGGAAGGGCCTGTTATGTATTATGCTTAAGCCATAACAAGTCTAAGTTCAGCTCTGGTGCCATGTTTAAAAATTCTGTTAAAAAAGGAACCACCTATTCGAAGAAAGATCAAAATATAGTTTCGAAATGTAAAAAAAAATAATGAATTTTTATCCTTGAATTTTTAAATAGGTACAGTACCAGTGACCTTTTAATCACGTGTTTAATACTGACCCTTTTAAACCACGTGTTTAAATAGGTTTTAAACAAGTTTAAAGGCAGAAGCATCCTTTGAATTTTTTCATAATTCGATGACATAATTTTGATTTATATTTCATTTTAATTTCTACATAAAATAACAATTACGAAATTTATAAAAATAAACTTAAAAATACGCTACTTCAACCAATTTGTAACCCCTTATAATTCTCGACCCTCGTGTCAACACATTAATTTATGTTTACTTACACAATGTACCTCCCTTCCTTGCGAATGTCACATCCCAATTAATATTTATATAATACTTTAAATCAGAGATTCTCAATCTTTTCTATTCGCCTATCTCCTGATCCTTGTCTGTATAGACTTGCAGCACTAACCGATCCTTCTAGCGTGTACTATTAGTTGAAAAGTTGTGCCATAGATATACTTTTTCGCGTGTATAACTCTCAGGAAATTGATAAAACAGAAGTAAAACCTTTAATAACACTCCCCACCTACAGAAGCAACAGCTGCTCCCATTACCATGATTTAGAAACTACGGGAAACTGGCTCCCATTTAGATGTTAGACACGTGAAAAAAAACAGGAAAACTCCACGTGCCAGACCGTTAGTCAGGTGCGAACCCGTGATCGATGTTCAGTGTCTTTTTTTTTATTTTCTGAGGGAGAATACAGCTTAAATTCATAAGTAACATAAGGCTTTCTTATATGAAATATTTAAATAATTATAAGAGAAGAATTAGGAGAAAAACGTGAAATATTTATTAATATTGACCCCAAAAAAGGATAAATGTTACTACTAAGAACGGCATAAAGATGGTATTCTCAGTAGGAGTACGTGCAGGAAGACACCATGAAGGCATAAAAATGGTCTCTTCAGTAGGAACACGTGCAGCAGCACACCATCAAGAGTATAAATATGGTATCCTTAATAAGAAACATGGAGGAAGACACCAAGAAGGAAATCAAAGTGGACTTCTTAGTGTTTTCAAATGGAACCATTTACAATAGGTTGGGCTAATTTCTCAATAGAGAGCGTGTGAATGGATAGGGTGCAATGCCGATGTACGAGAAGCATCCTTTGTGTAAGTCGAGACGATACGTTACGCGCATCGAACACAAACATATTATTAACTTTCATCTCTGTTATATCGTTTTACAAGCCGAAAAGAGGGCGAGAAACCTTTGCAATTATTTAGCTAATAAAAAACAATATACAGTTACATCTTCAAGCTTCATCAAGGAAGTTCAGAGATGTACAGCAATAAAATATTAAAAAAAACAGGATTCAAACTGTCAGACATTCACATAATGGGTAACGAAAACTACCCTATAACACAAAAGACTCATAAAATAAGAAAAATCTTCAAGTGGTTCTTCATGGTTATATGCTTTACTCGTGCATAAAACATCATTATTGATGTTTAAGTCTGTTGAAAGATCCTTTCATTGCATTTCTAAACAGTAAAGCATATCCTCACACGAAACTTAAACCCAATAGGACATATAAAAATGTCGTTACGCACGACATATACTGATTCATTGCATCGACGCTTCGTCTTCAAACCTGCATGCAAAGTATCAATCATATGTGTTAACAAACCTGCAACATCTATCATGTTCTATACTCACAGGATATATCAAATTTTAATTATTAAGTCTACTATTTTCCTGGCTTTTATATATAACGTAGTGAAAGTATGGCGACTAGTCAAAAATGAACCCCAAAGATTAAACTTGAGGGATCTTAAAACGTAGAGAAATGCAAAAAGAATTTGGGATTTTTTCCCTGCATGTATGGATGTTAGTGTTTGTGATGTGTGTATGTGTGGTGTGTATATGTGTGCTTGTGTACGATTTTGTTGCCCACTTTGAAACCTCCTGAGCCTTCTGTGGAAAATTTCTGAAATTTTGCAGGGAAGTTTGTGTATTAGGGCATCGATGCCATTAAATTTTGATGGTTAAAGGTCGATGGGTGGAGAGATAAAGGGGAATCGTGTGTCATAACTCGAGTAGGGTCGGATTTAATGAACTCATCTCTATCCTAAAAATGAAGCTTTTTGCCATTTT